CCCCTCCCCCCCCGGTATCCTCCTCCTGTTCTTGCCTCATTCTCCCAGCAACTTTTTCCCCCAGACCCATCGCTGGAGGTCCCCAGGTTCTGGCAATAAAGGCCCCAGTGTAGATCAGTGGCTCTGAGTGGGAGGGGGGCACATCTGTGGGCTTGGGGACACAGGGGACAGTTGGGGGGGTGCAGCTGGATGCTGGCACAGCCAGACACCAGGACATGTGGCCACAGGGACCCCATTGGGTCCCCCCAAGCTGCACAAGCTGTTGCATCCCAATGCTAGTTTTAAGGAAAAAAGGGTTTCCAAGACCCGAGTTGTTCTACTGCCAGGCTGGGAGGGATCCTCAGGATCTTTGGGGATCCAGCAGCCTGGATGGGGAGGGATTTTAGGGAAAGGGCCATGGGAGGGGCTGGGGAGTTTTAATGAAGGACAAAGAAAAAGAAGACAAACTTAGACAAAAACTTGTTATTGAACAGAAAACAAGGAATTCCCAGTGGGATAAATGCCATGGGAGATTTAGGGACCATTTGTCTGAGGCATGGAAAAAACTACTGGGATGTACTGGGATATGGGGCTGGGAGGGATCACCCCAAACCTGAGGGAAATCTCCCCAACCCTCAGAGGCTGCTGCTTGCCTCATATTTGTCCTTTGAAAACAATAAAATTCCATAAAACAGAAATTTCCCCAGGGATGGAGCTGGTTTGGCTCCTTGAGGCTGTGTACAAATCCCTGTTTTCCCAGTTTCCCCCAGCATGGACTTGGAACACAAATGGGTGGAAGTCTGGGTCCATCATCGGCGGCGCCGGTCCGGACTGCGGCTCCGCCGGCGTCCACCCCTGGAAAACGGGGAAGAGGTGGGAAAGGGTGTAAGGGAAAAGGAGATAAGGCAAGTAAAAAAAGAAGGGGGAAAAGGGAAGGAAGAGGGAGGAAATAGGGAAAGGAGGGGGGAAAGGGAGGGAAAAGGGTACAGAAAATGAGGGAAATGAGAGGTAAGGAAGAAGTCTAGAAGGACGGCATTGTGGGGTGTTCATCCCTATTTAATGGTGGTTAATAATGGTGCATGGAATGCCCCCCATTCCTCTAGCCAAGGGTTCCAGTGCTCCCACAGGTTCCTCCCATTACCAGCTCCTGGAATTCCCAGGAATTCCCTCACCTCCTCTTGCCCTTGGGGGGGCCTCGGACGAAGCACCAGTCAACGCTGACCGGCTGCCCCATGAGCTCCTGCCCATTGAGCCCCTCCATGGCTGCCTGCGCCTCCTTGTATGTCTCATACTCCACCAGCGTGTAGCCCTGGGATGGGATAGATTGGGAATGAGCCTGGACACCAGGGGAACTCCCAGCTCAGGTTTGGGGTGCATGGACCTCCTGACACCCTGGGTTTAGGAATGGGGATGAGCTTGGGCACTGGGAAACCCAAGCTCACTCTGGGGTTAGGACCAGGAATGAGAATGACCCCAGGCACTGGGGGAATCCAGCTCACAGCCCAACTCCCAGCTTGGCTGTGGGATGCAGGGACCTCCCAGTAAGTCAATTTTGAGATGCAGGGACTCCCATGACCCCCAGAATTGGCTCGGTTTTGGGGTGCACCCATGGCACCTCCCAGCCTGGAGCCTCCCCCAAGCTGAGATGGAGTCTGGGGATCCCCACAAATGCCGCCCCCCACCTTTAAGTATCCTGTGCGCCGGTCCAGGTTCAGATGGATGTTCTTGATCTCCCCGAATTCGGCGAATCGGTCATGCACGTCCTCCTCTGTGGCCTCTTCGTGCACCCCTGTCACAAACAGGATCCAGCCTTCCACGGCTGGGCAGTAAAAGGGGGTGTCACGGAGCTGGAAATGGAGCTTCCCCCCAAAATCTCTTGCCTTGAGAAGGGTATGTGTAGCCCCCCAGGCTGAGATTTGGGGGTTGACCCAAAAGTGATCCTGGGAAGGTGGGAAAGAATCATCCCAGCATGGCCCCAATTCCTCCTCCTTCTGGTGGTGGGTCCTAGGAAAGGGTCTGTCACCCAAGATCACTTCTTTTTCACAGCTAGGAAAGGGAGATGGGAGGCCCAGAATCCACAAATCCTGGGTGAGGTTGGGGAAAACTCATCCCAGTGGGGCTGAACCCCAATCCAGAGCCCAGAACATCTGTCCCCCCCCTATTCCCTTTCCCTTCCATGGGGAAAATGCCCCTGGTGACACTTGGAGACCGTGGGGTTCTCAGGAAGGAGCATCTCCCCCAAATTTCCCCATTCCCAATTTGAGAAGGGGATCTGGAGCTGGGGTTTGCCCTAAAATAAATCCTAGGAATGAGGAAGAGGAAGGGATTGTCCCAGCAAGGCTGAGCCCTGACCCAGAGCTGCAGAGCCCCCATGAAGCCCTCAAGGTCCCCAGTGTCCCCCCCTCACATCTCTGTGGCCCTGGCTCATCGCCATCCTGCTCGACGCTGTCGTAATCTTCGCGCACCCGAGCGCGGGATCCTTCCTCTGGAAAGGAAGGAAAACAAGGTAAGAACGGGGCCCCCAAACTTCAGGGTCACCCAGCCCCTCGCAGAGCACCATGGAAGGAGTTTGGGGGTGTTGTGGGGCCTACCTGAGCCGAAGCCGCGGCCCTTCCGCTTCTTGGCCTTTTCCTTCAGCTTGTGGATGCTCTCTGGTGGGAATTGCAGGGAGGGACCGGGATCATGGAGTCAGCAGGAGCAGGGAGCCCCCCCAGATGGACAGGGACTCCTCATCCTGGCCGGGAAAGGCCCCCCTGGGCTGGGCAGGACACCCTGGACACCCCCGGGAAAGACAGGACAGTCTCCCCATGACCTCCCCCAGGCTGGACAGGACCCCACGAGTTCCTCCGGCCCAGGAATGGTCCCATGAGCCGGGAATGAGTCCCCAGCGCCGAGCAGGAGCCCCCACCCCAGGCCGGGAATGATCCGCCCCGTGTCGGGGCTGTCCATGAGGTCGATGGGGTTTGGGGACGCGGGCAGAGCGGCTCCGCTGAGCCCGCGCCCGCCTGGATCGGTCGGCGGAGCCGCTCTGGGTTGGACGGTATCGCCGCAGCCCCGCGCTCACCGTCGCCATCCTCGTCCATAGCAAAATCCTCTCCGCCCGCCTCATGAAGATCCAGCACGTCCGCCATCTTGCCCAGGATACCGGGGCACGCCGGGAACGCGCCGGAAGGGCCGCCATAGTGGGAGGGTACGTGGCGGAAGTGCCCGTTCAGCCATGCTGAGAAGGTCACGGCCGCCGCACCGGGACGCTTCTCTCCGCCCCGGGGATCCTGAACCCCGCACCAGGGCGGCTCAGGCGGCTGTTGGGTACGACCGGCCTCACAAAATGAGCAAGACGACCCAAGTTAACCAAAATTGCTGGGTTTATTGTATAAAATCCACAGCAGTGTTTATCCCGCCCGATTTCCTTAATTCCACTGCCTCAACAGGGAGCACAACTTTCTCCATACTGAGAAAACTTGAATTTAATTTTACACCTTCCAAGGAGATCCGGAGCCTCCAAACTGGCTCCTCAATCCCACAGGCAATGGGGTATCCGGTTTCTTCCTTTTTTT